CAATTTTCTATAGAAGTGTCGCGTTCGCTTGTTTAGTAAGGATAAGTCATCAGAATAACATGATAAGTTTTTCTAGAAATGTGGATTTACTGGTTTAGTAAAACTGAGTCACCAGAATGACATGACAATTTTCTATAGAAGTGTCGCGTTCGCTTGTTTAGTAAGGATGAGTCATCAGAATGACATGATAAGTTTTCTACAAATGTGGTTTTTACTGGTTTAATAAAACTGAGTCACCAGAATGACATGACAATTTTCTATAGAAGTGTGGTTGTTGCTTGTTTAGTAAGGATGAGTCATCAGAATGACATGATAAGTTTTCTACAAATGTGGTTTTTACTGGTTTAATAAAACTGAGTCACCAGAATGACATGACAATTTTCTATAGAAGTGTGGTTGTTGCTTGTTTAGTAAGGATGAGTCATCAGAATGACATGATAATTTTTTCTATAAATGTGGATTTACTGGTTTAGTAAAAATGAGTCACTAGAATGACATGACATATTTGATCCTATGATGAAGCGCTGAATTACTTGAATTACTAAATCAAAAGATTTAGCTCCACTTTTACAAAATGATCCTTCATATAAATGATTTATGTGTTTTAGTTAAGACCCAAAGGAATTTAAAACTAAATACATTTAAATTGCAAAGTCAATGCAGTAAAAAGTTAATTCTGTGCTTCAACTTGTTCTGTTGCATTAAAATGAATAAATGAAGAAAAAAACTACCTTTGAAACATTGAAGTGTCTTAAACTTGGTAGAGTTTATATGGCAGTGGGTGTTTAATAATACAGAACGAAATATATTTTATACATTAAATTAATAGAAAAGTTTCGTGTGATTGTTTTTGCCCAAAGCCACACAACAGGATATCTGTCCACCGTAGGGAATCAAACCCCGAATTTTCGCGTTGTAAGTCCTTAAACGTACTTCTGGTCCAGCGGGGCCAGTATAAAAAGAGCCTATATAAATAAAGGAGCTTTAGACGGAGAAAAAGAAGAGAGAAAGTAAACATTATTTTGAATTAAGTAATGAACCTTTTTAATCATGCTATGTACAGAGCCTCAAAAAATATTGAACTTTCAGAAGTGACACCTTCCAGATTCTGAAATCATGATCAAAATGTCTAGATTATATTTTATGTATAATTGTTACTTCTTATTTATTTCTATCAGTGTTATCTTTCTAGAGTCAGTAGATCATCACAGTTATCAGTGGGGGTGCGTTTCTATAGAGATGACGTCGTGACTACGTCATAATGCCAATGATGTTTCTGAATGTGAACAACTCTAAGTATAATGCTGATGTGATATCGTGGATGTTTGATGGGTAAGTTTCTAATGTCAAAGGTCTGAGAATCATTAATAAGTTCAAAAATTAACAGGTGACAGTTATCTCATTAGGGAAAATATTTTATCATGCCAAAATAATGATCATAATAACTAAAATTAAGCAGTTTAGACTGACAACGTACAGTTTAGTTGTCCAGTCAAATATTTTATTTCTGGAAGAAGCATAACGGGAGTAAAATCAGAAAACAAAAACGACAACCCATGCACGAAGCTGTCTCGTCTCCCAACCGCTTACAGTTTATGTGTAATTTACCAGGCATCTACCAAAGAAGACCCAAGAGTATTGTCCATCCTCTCATGAAAAGGTTTTGAAGTGTGTCATAGAGAGTGTCACGTATGGCGACAATGCTTTTCATTAAATGTCAAAAATGGCTTGAAAATGAAAACATAGAGACACTGATCTCGTTAGAAGCAACATGACATAGAAGTTGCTGCCGAAATAAACTCATAAAGGAAAATGTGAACACCCAAGAAAGAACCATGAAGCATCTCTAGCACGAAGCTCCAAGAAAGAACCATGAAGCATCTCTAGCACGAAGCTCCAAGAAAGAACCATGAAGCATCTCTAGCACGAAGCTCCAAGAAAGAACCATGAAGCATCTCTAGCACGAAGCTCCAAGAAAGAACCATGAAGCATCTCTAGCACGAAGCTCCAAGAAAGAACCATGAAGCATCTCTAGCACGAAGCTCCAAGAAGGAACCATAAAGCATCTCTAGCACGAAGATCAAAAAATAATTATGAAGCATCTCTAGCACGAATATCTTCCTCTTCAGATGTTGAACTTCTTCTATTCCCAAGATCAAAATCTTAATCTTTTAACAAGGAACTTTACATGTTTTGTCATGGTGATGAAAAAGTCAGGAAACATCTTCACAAAGCTAAAAGAAAAAAAAAATGAGAGAGAAATGACGCCTCATTAAGACAGTGAAATTAAGCACCGCAATAGATCCCACAGACATGTAATATCAGAATAAATGATGGGCTGTTTATGTCACCAATGTTCTTAATGTATCTGAAGACATAGAAAAACGAACTCCAGTAGTGTATAAAATTGCAACAACAATTGGGTTCGTTCGTTAGATTCCTCCAGGAAAGGCTTCGGAATGGGTAAATATTCACTGTACCTGAATTAAAAGAAATATGTAATCAAAAAAGATGTAAACGTCGTGGCCAGAGTTGGAATCTCTGGAAAAACGACTGAAAAAAATTTATCACGAACAAAATTGCTGATATTAAATTCCCTAAAGCCGCACAGGTCAATGAAACCGATTACCTGAACGTTAAAAACATCAGAGACTTTGGGTTTGTTTAAGCTGAAAACAGTGCCATTGACAATTATCTTTCCATTCCTTTTTAAGTGGCCGGGCATGGCCAGGTGGTCAGGGCACTTGACTCGCAATCTGAGGGTCGCGGGTTCGAATCCCCGTCCCACCAAACATGCTCGACACTTCAGCCGTGTTGGCATTATAATGTGACGGTCAATCCCACTATTCGTTTGTAAAAGAGTAACCCAAGAGTTGGTGTGACGGGGATTCGAACCCGCGACCCTCAGATTGCGACTCGGGGTCGTAACTACCTGGCCATGGCGAACCCGTAGTAAAAATGTAAATATATCAAACGTTAATTGTTACTCACATTGAATAAGAAGGGATTTGGGTTTCTTTAAAAATGCTAAATTGTGGTGTTTGTGAATCGAAGAAATGTTTGATGTTCGTTTCAATGGCCAATCTTTCTTTTCCATTTTTAGAGCATAAAATAACTTTTTTTTTCTTCCAAAAAACGTTCTTGCTAAACCTTTTTGCAGATTTGTTTAACAAACCAATCTTGAAGATAATACTATTAAGTTATCAGCATTGATTTTCAAAATCTTATAAGCAGTTATTTTAAAGATAATTGGTCCCTTCAACAGAATAACATTGCTTTGCTGTAACTTGTATTTATTGATTTTTAATGAACTTTTAAATAAACCTTTTTTTTTGTAGTTCAGCTTAAATACTAACTATTTGCTTTCGGTGCCACTGGTTAC